AGAATTGTTTGTACATAGTATGTTTTCATTCAGGTTTTCTGCACTATTCTTGTTTAAATGGCACTAATAATTCAGAATCTCTTTAAAGCAATACATTCTCAATCTTGAGTTTGAAGTAGTTAGGAGCTTCCATTCATTTCCAGAGATATAGTGAGTTAAGTGAGGATATGAATATTATTATCTAGAATGAAAGCACAGATTAAAATAAAGACAGACAGGGAGAAGGTTGGGGATTGATCTCAGTGGTAGCCTGGCAAGCACAAGGCCCTGTGTTCATTCCTCAGCTCTGAAAAAAGGAAGGGGAACAGGAGAGTATATAAGATTAGGCTTAGAGAAACTGAAGTGTCTAATGTGGAGGGGGGCTTATCCTGTAAAGGAGACCGAATGTGTAGCCTGATGGATAGAAGGGAAGCCAGGGGAGTCTGGTGTCCTGACAGCAGAGCAATAGACTTGCACCACAGTTGAACACTGCTGCTGGGTCAGTTAAGGTTAAGGACATAAGTGTCCATCAGTTTTAGTGACATGATAATTGCTGCAGTGCTACTTTTAGTAAGATAAGTTTTATTACAGTGCAGAGACGGAAACTAGACCTCCCGGCTTAAGGGGCAACTGGACACGAGCTATGAAAGGTTTAGTTAGAAGAGATCAAAAAATGATCAGGAATGTCTGATAGCATGATAGTATGTTTCTCAGACAGGAGAAAGAACAATGATGGTGCTTTGAACATTCTCAAGTCTTTTGAGTTACATGCTTTCATTTGTCTTGGGTGGACAAATACCTACAAGTGGACTCTGTCTTTTATCTAACTTTGTTCTTGGCCATTTTAAGTATAGTAGCCTGTACCGCATTGTTATATAATTCATCTTTGTGTCCCCTTATCATCAATGATGTCAAGCATCTTTTTGTGCTTTGTCATTTGAATTTCTTCAAGTGTCTATCCTTTCCTACTTGAAGAATTTCTATTATTGAAATGCAAGATTTTAAAATATAGCTACAAAGCCCTTGTCAGATTTATATATCACAAATATTTATTTCAATCTACACCTTGCTTTGCATTTATTAATGTTGGGTTTGAATAACAAGTTTTTTTATTTAATGAAGGCCAGTTTGCTCCATTTTTATGGTTTATATTATGACAATGTATTTTTATTAGCATTGAGCTAGATTATTTTGTGTTCTTGTTTTTATATAAAATTTGTAGACAGTGTGTGTGTACATACATGTTGTGTCACTGTGTGTATGTAGAGGTAAGAGGACAACTTATGAGAGTTGGTTTCTTCCCTCTACCATGTCCTGGGGTCCTGGGCATCGAACACAGGTTACTAGGCTTGGCAGCAAGTATCATTTATTGATTAGTAAACCATTATGTTAGTCTCATTTTGTTTGTTTATTAAATATTAGTGTCTTGATCTCATGTAACTTGTGAGTTGCAGTCATGTCTGAAAGGGTCTAGTAACGTGAGACGACTTGGTATTTGTTTTTAATCAATGACTGTAGCTGTAGAAAGTCATATTATTTTCTGGTGATGCTTAAGTCCCTAACTGTGTAAATTCTTTGGAGGAGTACATTATTCAGAAATGTTCTGCATAGCCACAATAAGAGTAGGTTGTGCAGAGCAGGGTACACACTGTAAACTTCCATGCAACAGCTGTCACTGTTGGCAAACTCATCCTAGAGAAGTGCTATATTAAATTGGTCCAGTGGACACAATTAATTCAGAAAAAGGAACTGCTTGCATGACAGGCATGCTTGGCATAGTGAAGCAGCTGGTCTGATTATGTACCTCAATTATAAGGCATGGTGGATAAAACTGTCTCTGCTTATGAAAAGATGAGGAGTGCATGCTATGAACAGATGGCTAAGAATACTTGACTTTCTAATACCTTGTCTCATTACTAGTAATTTTTAAAAGAATTGAGGTTTTCTTTGTATAATGTGAAAAATACCCTGCATATAAATGAAAGAAATTTAGATAAAACTGAATCAGGAGAAAGATGACATTAAAATGTATTTCACTGTTTTTAGAAGTTACTAATAATTTTTATTATTGGTTATAATTGCTATATAAACATGCAAGCAGCCTTTGTATTTCATAACTTTAATGCTTTTTATTGGAAAATACAATACTCTAAGACAGCTGCTTTTGTGGCCCATAAATTTCTTTTTCAGAACATACATACATACACACACACACACACACACACACACACACACACACACACACACACCCCTCTTCATATAAGAAATGCACAAATACAGCCCACATAAGCGATGACATTTCATGTACTTTTTATTGGCCCTTAGCTACTTTTTAGTATGCTATGATGATACTGAAGGTTCTTGCTAGGTATGTATGTTCCAAATCAACTTGAAAGTGACTCCTACTTTTCACATTTATTGAACCAAAAGCAAAGAGGTTATATTCTATAATTTATGGAAAAATTAAAAATTTACCATTTCCATTTTCTAAAGGTTTAGTCTGAATCTGTGAAATAAAATTAAACCATTTCATGTTTCATCACTGTTGTAGCATCTGTTTTAAAGTGATCGGTATTTCTGGCTAGACTGAAGGCAGTGAAGGAATGTTTATTCTTAAGTTCAAATTCAGATCCAAATGTATTTCAGAAATTCTAAATGATCAAGAATGAGTTGATGGAGTTATGTCACCCTTTTCATTTCTGATTTTGCTGATTTGGATAGATTCTCTCTGCTTTTTAGTTAGTTTGGCTAAGGGTTTGTCTATCTTGTTGATTTTCTCAAAGAACCAGCTTTTTGTTTCATTGATTCTCTGAATAGTTTTATTTGTTTCTAATTGATTGATTTCAGCCCTGAGTTTGATTATTTCCATCCGTCTGCTCCTCTTGGGTGTATCTGCTTCTTTTTTGTTTAGGGTTTTCAGCTGGGCCATTAAGTTGTTTGTATGTGTTGTTACAAATTTCTTCTTGAAGGCACTTAGTGCTATGAATTTTCCTCTGAGCACTGCTTTCAATGTGTCCCATAAGTTTGGGTATGTTGTGCCTTTATTTTCATTGGATTCTAGGAAGTCTTTAATTTCTTTCTTTACTTCTTCCTTGACCCAGCTATGAGTAGTAAGTTGTTCAGTTTCCACGTGCGTGCCGGCTTTTTGTTATTTCCGTTGTTGTTGAGGTCCAGCTTTAGTCCATGGTGGTGAGATAGAATACAATGGATTATTTCAATCTTCTTGTATCTGTTGAGGCTTGCTTTGTAGCCTTGCTAGGCCACAGGGGAGGACTTTGCAGCCAGTCCTGAAGAGACTGATAAACCAGTATCAGATGTAAGGGGAGGAGGTTCTCCCTTGGCAGTGGACTTGGAAAGGGGCAAGGAGGAGATGAGGATGGGAGGGTGGGATTGGGAGGGAAAGAGGGAGTGGGATACAGCAGGGATACAAAGTTAACAAACTGTAACTAATAGTAAAAAAATAAAAATTAAAAAAAAAGAATGAGTGTGTGTTAAGCTTTTAAGATGAACAGTTGGAGGATAGAAAGGAATACATTTAAATTTCATTAGCACCAAATGGAAGTCACGGCTCTTGGAGGAGAACCTATAACCATCACCTTGCTAAACCAGCACAATCCCTGATTACACTCCAGTACACTTGGTGTGTATTCTCACCACAAAGAAATAATAAGTGTTTGAGGAAATGTTCTCAGTAAAAAGAAACAATAAATACTTGAGGTAATGAACCCAACACACTAAATTGATCTTAAGCAATATATACATGCCCCAGAGAATTACAGGTACTCCATAATTTTATGTCAATTAAAATTACAACTGAAAAATTGATCAAGATAAAATTAGTGAAGTGAAAACAAAATGTAACAGTAATTATAAACAATACAAAAGCTTTAAAAGTAGAGAAACCTTGTGGGATGTAAAGAGAAAAACGTATGAGTCTGTGTCTGTATGTTTATAAATGGGTGTATGTCTGTGTATCTGTATGTGTGGATCTGAGTGTGTATTATTAGAAACAAGAACACATTCAAGACAAATTAACTGTTTAACAACTTTTACTACTGCTCACTTGAAGGACAGAATCCTTTAGAGAAATACAGAAAGAAAGACCAAATGTAACTAGAAAACTTAAAGTGTCCACAGAAGAGCTTGAAGGGATTTAAAAGCTACTTTTTTAAGTGACCAATGCTTCACCAATGCATTCCATCTCAATTTTATAGAGGATCTAATTCTAGGCTATAAAGAAATATTTCTTCAATTTACCCTGTGAAATTAGAACATCCTTAGTGTCCAAACTTGCCAGTAAAGCATATAAACCTGTGCATCACAGTTTATCACACAGAATACATGCTCCAGCCACACAAGGAACGTCAACAGTTGGGAATTTCACCCCAGGAATACAAACATGGCCCAATACTTCAAAACCCATGATTACAACAAATTATACCAAATCTGAAGAACAGAAGATAAGGGCAGTGGCCACCAAGCCTGACAACCTGAGTTCAATTCCCAGGCTGTACACACACATACATACATAAACACACACACATACTAAATGTTAAAAAAAGATATGAAAAATGAAGGATGAACCATATGATAATAATGGCTACCCCAAAAGAACTAAGTAACAAAGTATTTAAATATAATATCTCTTTTTTTTCCTCCAAGAAAGGCTTTCTCTGTATAGTCCTGGCTATCTTGGAACTCACTCTATAAACCAGGTGTACTCGAACTCAGAGATCCACCTACCTCTGCCTCCCAAGTGCTGGGATTAAAGGTGTGCTCTACCACTGTCTAGCTAAATATAATATTTCTTAACAAAATCATTTATATACATAAAGAGATGATACATTTAAAATTTTCTCTCTATATAAAGTATATATACTCACTTATAACACAAGCATATCCAAATGCATATACTTCATTACCACTTAATTCATATATTAAAGTATATTTTTTTCAACAAAAACCTAACTAGTATGTAATTAAGCAATTATACTTATTCTTTGTTAAAGTCGTTAGTTTACCTGTTTAGGAAGTTGGAACAAGGAATTCTTATAGAACATGTCCTTAGCCTGGCTCCATGTTCCATCAATGAGGATGATTGTGGAAGGATGAACAGGAGAATCCAATATAAATTCTTCCAAATTAGTAGCTTCAGCCCCTGGATATAATATTAATGTACCAGGGTCCCGGCAAATGGTTGCAAGGTCAACGTCTCTAAAACAATAATTTTTTAATTAATTTTTATTTTTTTATTAACCACAGGTTATTTACTTTGTATCCCAGGCGTAGTAGCCCCCTCCCTCATTCACTCCCAATCCCACCCTCTCTCCCTTATCTCCTCCCTGTCCCTTTCCAAGTCCACTGCTAGGGGAGGCCCTCCTCCCCTTCCATCTGACCCTAGCTTATCAGGTCTCTTCAGGACTGGATACAAAGTCCTCCTCTGTGGCCTAGAAAGGCTGCTCCTCCCTCGGGGGGTGGGGGAGAGGTAAAGGAGCCAGTCATTGAGTTCACATCAGAAATAGATCCTGTTCCCCTTACTAGGGAAACCCACTTGGATACTGAGCTACCATGGGCTACATCCGAGCAGGGGTTCTAGGTCATAACCAAACCTTTGGCAGAATGCAGGGAATCATACGATAAAAGGGAAAGTTAATATGACCGGGAGAGGACAGGAGCTCCACAAGGACAAAATATATCAGGGCACAATATGAGACTGTTTCTCCAACTAAAGCAATAATTTTTAAGATATCTTTATTAGGTGTAGGGAAAACAAAAATTTTACTATAGTAGTGAATGCCTAGGCAAAGCTCCCCTCTCACCATCTAACTAAATGGAGACACTAATTCAAAGGTCAATCAGAAGCCTTAGATTCTGAAAACTGGCATGCTGTCTCCCCAGCTTCAGTTCTTCCATTTTCCTCTTCATTATTTCCTGCCAAGGCTTTCCTAGCCAGTGGCTAGTGACATAATTTTTCACCCTCCCATAGAAATTTCTCTGTAGAAAAAAACTATCCCAGCTGCCCAGTCACTCAGTCCACTTACTGCTCCTCACTGAAGCGCCGGCCAATCTTTACTGTGAATTTGTCTGGGGGAAGGCATGCTGCTAGCAGAGGGACTGTGCGCAACACTTTGTTTTCCTTTAATGATAAAAATAAAGCATAAAGTTACTACCCACAAACACTTTAAAATGCTAGCTCATCAGGTACAAAGACCTGAGTGTCAATATCAGCATGGCAGAAAGAAAAGCTTTCCTGAGTAACATTTGCTTTCTAGCTTAATATATTTTCAAAAATTTTACTCAAGTTCAGAGGTTCAGAAGTGGTAATAATTCCCTAATTTATCAGTATTAAGTATAACACAAGTAAACTTTTAAACCTACTTAGATATATTTACAGGCTAATAGTTAGAATTATAGATTGTATAGAGAAAATACTTTATTCAAATACCCCTAAGGAAACCCATTATTATGTATAATTAATAAATCTTAATAATAAACTAAATAAATTATAAATGCATATAAATTTGTGTTAAACTGAGTAATTTATTCTGATAAGCTTTCCATTTCAAAGTAATTATATTTTGAACACATCAGCTTGCAGATGATAGGCTAGATCTCTATACCATAAGAATAGCAAAATGTTCAAAAGATAAGACAAAGGACATGTCAAAACAACAGAGCCACAAATCTAGAGACTGGCTAATGGACAAATGGAACAACTTAAGCAACAAAACAAATACAAGACCCTAAACCATAAAAGTCTCCTGTAAAATACTGAAACACTAAGCAGCTTTCTTTTTTTTTTAATTTTATTTTTCTCGTTAGTTACATTTTGTTAATTCTGTATCCCAGCTGTATCTCTCATTCCCTCCCCAATCCCACCCTCCCTCATCTCCTCCCTGCCCCTTTCCAAGTCCACTGATGGGGAGGACCTCCTCCCCTTTCATATGACTCCATTTTGTCAGGTATTTTCAGGACTGGCTGCAAAGTCCTCCTCTGTGGCCTAACAGTACTGCTCCTCCCTTGGGAGCAGTGGGGAGGTCAAAGAGCCAGTCATTGAATTCCTGTTAGAAATAGTCCTTGTTCCCCTTACTATGGGAAACCAATTGATTACTGAGCTATCACGGGTCACATCCGAGCAGAGGTTCTAGGTTTTATCCTCTCATGGTCTTTGGTTGAGTGTCCATGTCAGAAAAGACCCTGTGCCCAGATATGTTTGGTCCTTGTGGAGCTCCTATCCTTTCCACATCAAACTCCCCTTCTTTCATATGATTCCCTGCACTCTGCCGAGGGTTTGGTTATGAGTCTTGGTATCTACTTTGGAACACTGCTAGGTAAAGTCTTTCAGATGCTTTCTGCGGTAGACTCCTGTCATACGTTCAATGCATATCTCATTTGTCTTTCTAAATGAGGATTATCATCATACCCCGTGTCCGCTTTCTTGATTATCTTCTTTAGGTGTATAGATTTCATTATGTTTATCATATCTTTTAGGTCTATATAAGCGAGTATACTCCATGTTTGTCTTTCTCCTTCTGGGATACTTCACTCAGAATGATCTTTTCTAGATCCCACCATTTGTCTGCAAATTTCATGATTTCCTCTTTTTTGATTGCGAAGTAGTATTCCATTGTGTAAATGGAATACACAATGGAATACTAAGTAGCTTTCTTATACAATTGTAATTACCATTGAGAATACTGACCACCCCAGAAAGCCTACTTTCTCCCCCCCACCCCATGGAAGTGGGCTGCACTTTCAGGAGTCCAAACATCCAGCAAAATGCTTACCACCATGAGTAGTTTTGTTTTTTTTTTTTTTTCAGCATCCTAGCTTCTACTGCTAAAAACAATCTTTCTTGTCACAACTCTATCATTAGCCCTGCGGAGGAAGTCAGCCACTGTGCCTTAGGTGGAGCTAGGAAAATTTTCCAGTGTTTATAGAATGTTCCTCCCTCCATATCACTATAGAGACATTTGCTTTCCAAACTTCTGTCAAAGTAATATATGCCAAATTAAATCATCACAAAGATTTAAAATGCTGTAACTTCCCCAGGTCTACTCCCCAGTACCACTTTCAAGAAGAAATCACTTTAACCCTTAGCTTCTTCTTCTGAGAATTATTTCCATATTTCCTATAACGTCTGTTGCAATTTTGATTTTTCAATGTCATATATTATATATAAGCTACAAATGATGATGATCATCATAGCTAACATTAACATACACAATTCCAAGCATGACATATAGATATAATATCCATTTACTTTCAACAACAAACCAGTAAAGAAATGAAATTTTTATTATGTTCACCTTACCAATGAGGAGACTGAAGCCCAGAGAGACTATTAACTTGTACGGGGTTATGGACTATACATAGCTATCAGCATCTGAAGCTCAGGCAATCTTGCCATAGAACCATGACTCTTAACTTTGCACGCACAGCCTCTCATAACAAGTTAACATTCTGAATGCTCACTTTGAAGCTCACCCTCACATCTGATAACGGTTTTAGCTAAATCAATGAACAGTGTTTCTATCATTATAGCTACATATACACAGTTCACGAGGCTATGTATCTTAGCATAACACTTCTTCCTTGTAAAGATTTTTTTTCTTATTTTTGCAGTAACTTCTTGTTTTTAAGCACTTTTTACATTTATGTACCTATTCTTGAAATGTTCATTACATCACTCCCATGCAATCCTCTCTCCCGTATCTCTTTCCCCAAATCTCCCCCCTGGAACCCATCCAAATGGTTTCAATCTCATTTTTATGGGAGACCCATGAAATTGTCAAATCTGTTTAGGCAACGTAGTGTGCTAAAGCTACACACAAGCAGCCTAGTATTAGTGAACTAGTTGAAGACCAGAATGTTCCTCAACTGATTGGGAAAATCCATTGGATGTACTTGTCTATCCATATGATACATTTAGATGTGGACACATCATCTAAACTAAGGATTGTGTGTGTGTGTGTGTGTGTGTGTGTGTGTGTGTGTGTGTGTGTGTGTGTGTGTTTACAGCTGTAAAAATTGTTCAAAATATAAAAACCATAACAAATCAACTTTTAAAACTACACTTTGAAGGTTATCTTATACTTTAGAAAAAAATGGAGAAGTACTATATTTGTACCAAAATTCAGGTTTTAACCCTCTATGACCAGTGAGCTATTGTTTTCTATAAATATAATTTGTACAATATTACAATCTTAACTGAAGTAAGATAATCCTGTGGCAAAGGAGCCAGAGTCACAAGAGCCTGCTGTCAACTTACCAACAAACAACTTACAACAAAGAAACGGTATTTATCATTCAGAAAACAAAAAGGCTGATTTATTTTTCATCTTTGTTATATATTTGTTATATATAGACTGTAAGATTTAAAATAATAATAATTACTATTATTATTTCTTTATTAAAGCCTGCTTGGACATAAGAGGTTCTGAGTTCTAAATGCTAAAAGATTTCTCACTTGGGTTAACACTTAATCCATTTACAGCATTCATACTAGTTTCACACTGACTAACTTATCATTGTCTATGATTTCCTTACATCCCCTCATCACAAATCAAAACTTACAACTGTACACACACACTGGCACATGTCTAATTCTACACAGAGAAGAGTGTTAATTAAAAAGTTTCACAGATGGCACAGTACAAAGTAAATGTGTTTGTTGCAGCCACCTAACACAAAGAAATTTTACTTCCATATCCATCTTGTAAGAGAAAAATGCCAAAGTCAGGATCTACTCTATCAAGAAAAGACTACAAACAAAGCTTTAAAAGCAGTAATTTTTCTGAGCTCCTCATTCAAAAAAATTATATCTATAAAATACAATTTTATACAAATCTTCTGGAATTCTAAATCTCTACCCTACAGGAGCAGAATTGTATGAAACACTGTCTCAAGCATGTGGCTGCCAACTATCATCTACTAGATAACTCTATCATTAATAAGGGCTTTTTTAAAACACTATCGAGTGTGTTTACATCCGTGCTTCCACCTGCAGACTACATGTACAAACTTTAACTCACCTCTGCTGGATGCTGAATTATGTACAAGTGGGTGGAGATCTGGAGCGGATGCACTGGTAGATATGGACACAAGCACACTTTCCGGGGCCGGCTAAAAGTGTAAAAAAGAAAAGGAAAGAGCAAACAGAATCAATGGAGTTCTAAAATGTAATATAACATCCTCCTAAAATGTCAACATTATGTCATTTTTTATAACTAAAGAGGTTTGCTAACGCTACATACTTTCAAAATGAAACATCATTAATGAATTGAATAAGATGTATTAGACATGAAAATTATGAAAGAGATTTAAGTAAATTATTTCCCATCCACTGACATTCTGAGCTTGGCAGTACACTACAATTCAGTGGTTCAACATTTGTTTAGCTTACAAGACACAGATTTGATCCACCACAAGACAAATTTAGTTGGTTAGTATTAAAGAACTTCTATAAACATTAGTTGCTTTTCGTGGAAAATAGTTACTAGGTCATCAGGGCCTTTTCAGTCATGAAGCAATACTTCTTTTCATTTAACATCAAGAACAGAACTCATGACCAAGAAGAAGAAGGAGAAAAAGGAGGAAGGAGGAGGAAAAGGAGGAGGGACGTAAAAGGAGGAAGAGAAAAGAAAAGGAGGAGGAAGAAGAGAAGAAAAAGAAAAGAAGCCTGGGCCCAGAGGCATGGGGGAAAAAAAAGTTTTAGGTCCTAAAAGCACAGGAAATAAATTTCCTGGAGAGGAAAGATAAAGAAACCTAGGAAGGCTACTTGTCTATAACAAAAAATAAAAATAAACAAGGAAACCTATACTCTTAGCAGGTGAGAAAATAAAAAAACAATAATCCAGCCAAGCAAAGAAAGAAAAGAAACACCAAACAAACTACAGGACTGAATAAACATCTCTCAGTAACAACTTCACATGTAAATGGATTCAACTCACTAGTAAAGAAACCTGGACTAGCTGCCTGTATTAAAAGACTAGGATTAAAAACAGTATCAAGAGAACAAAAGCCAAAAACATGGCTGATATCTGGTAAAAGAAGACCCAAACCAAAATTAGCCAGAAGAGTTAAGGTCACCACATATTAATAAAGGAAGTAATTAGTTAAGCAGATAAAGCAACTGTAAATACATACACACTAAACATTGAGAGTCACAATTTCATTCCTCACAGAACTAGAACAAAAAAAAAAAAAACACAAAACTCAAATAACCACAGTAGTCTTTTAGATTTATGTTCTTTTTTAATTAAATTTCTATTTTTTATATTAATTACAGTTTATTCACTTTGTATCCCAGCTGTAGCCCCCATCCTCATTCCCTCCAAATCCCACCCTTCCTCTCTCATCTCCTCCCATACCCCTCTCCAAGTCCATAGATAGGGAGGTCCTCCTCCCCTTCCATCTGACTCTAGCTGACATGAAGTCAGTGGCTGGCTTGTTGACTGCCTCCCCCATGTATATATGTGATCCACACGGTGCCTGCTGAGGCCAGAGGAGAACGTTGGATCATCTGGAACTGGAATTGCGGACAGTTTTCATTCCTCATGTGGGTTCTGGGAATTGAACCTGGGTCCTCCACAAGAACAAGTGCTAGTAAATGCTGAGCCATCTCTTTAGTCCCAACCACAGAAGTCTTAAACAGAAAAGACAATACCAAAGGTATCAAAATCCCAGGCCTCAAACTATATTAGAAAGCCACAGTAACATTACCAGCATTTCAGTGGCACAAAAACAGGCACAGATCAACAGAACAGAACAGAGAACCATACATAAACCCACACATCAATAGCCACTTAATCTTTACAAAGGAGTCTGACACATACATTAGGAAAAAAAAAAAAAAAAAAGACAGCCTCTTCAACAGAATAGAAGTTCTAGAGGAAAATATAAGCATATATAACGGCCCTCTGAAATGGACTCAAAAAACACAGGACACGACCCAAGAACTGACAACTGAGATTGCATAAAATTAAAAAGCTTCTTCACAGCAAAGAAAATGATGAGCAGAATGAAGAGTGGGAAAACTAAACACGGGACTGGGAATTAATATCTCAATATATAAAGAACTCCAAATTAAAAAAAAAAAACATCCAATAAGCAAAAGGACAGAATGAGGTGAATAAACAATTTTTTAAAGAAGAAATACAAAAGACCTAAAAAGACTTGAAGAGTGTTTACAGCCGTAATGGCATGTGACATCTGCTGTGTCAAGCAAATTCCCATCAGGATACCTACTATTTCAGGGCTGACCACTGTCTAATCTTACTCTACTGAAGAGTAATGTAGCTCAAGGTAAGAAATGCTTATACTAAACTACAGAGTGTGAGTAGACTGGCTGAAACAGCTATTGTAGCAACAATTCCTTCTACTCCTACTGTGTTAGTTAAACACCATGATCAAAAAGCAAGTGGGAGGAAAGGGTTTGTACAGCTTACATCTCCACATTGTTATTCATCTCCAAAGAGAGTCAGGAACTCAAACAGAGCAGGATCATGGAGCAGGAGCTGATGCAGAGGCCAAGGAGAGTGCTGCTTACTCATTTTCTTACCCTGGCTTGCTCTGCTTTCTGACAGAACTCAGGACCAATAGCCCAAGGGTGGCCCCATCCACAACGGGCTGGGCCCTCTCCCTCTGATCACTAATTGAAAAGATGCCTTATCTCATGGAGGGTTTCCTCGACTGAGGCTCCTCTTTCTCTGATGACTGTAGCTTTTGTCAAGTTGACACAAAACCAGCCAGTACACCTAGATCCTAGCTTCTACTATTATGGGTCACAAACCAATATGAAGTCAAGTATATCATTAAAAAAAAAAAAAAAAAAAGAGTCACAAAAAAATCCGGCAACGGCAAAGGTTTCTGATGGTACAATGACCAAAAAGTAATCAAAATCAAACAAATCTGAGGTGTGTCTGGCTGCACTTGCCTGTATAGCACTGCATGGCTTCCCTGCAGCCTTGGCTCTGAACACACAATATACACACTTTGCATGCACTTGCTACTACAGCAGGCAACACCAACAAACACTTTGGCTCAATCTCAGACTACTGTATGTTAGGAACTGCAGCACTGTCCATATAAAGTTTATTGTTCTTTTAGAAAATGATTTCATTACTAAAAACAGACAATATTTTCTTATCACCATCCCTCAAGCATTCAAGTACTAAATTAATACTGTTATACAGCTTAATTTTTATAAAAAGCACTGTCTGAGCTGCTGACTTGTGTCTTACATAAAGATCACTAAATGAAATTTCAGCACAAAGCACGTTGGCATAAGCCTTTAATTCCAGCACTGGAGAAGTTAAAGCAGGAAAATCAGGAGTTCAAGGTCAACCTCAGCTACATAAAAAGTTGAAGTCTGAGAATAGCCTGGAACAAAAGAGACCCTGTCTCAAATTAAATAATAATAATAATAATAATAATAATAAGTGATTAGAACAAATTTCCAACAATTTCTGTAATAGCCCCAAACATACTTTTGCCATTTTGTACTATATATTCATATATATTTGACACTGACAATTACAAATTTAAAAGTATCAATTAAGTCTGATAACATGTTGATGACGTTGTAGTGTTCTGCAGTATCAAATATTCAGCTAAGATTTAATTCTTTATATAGAAACAAAGACTTCTATCTCAATGATATGTAAATTTGCTTTCATTTTTAAGAAAAGATATATTTTTATCTATTCCAAAGAATTGTTTTAAAATAAAGTTCTTATGATTCATTATTAGTGTTTGATTTGTATACCTATTATATATGCAAGGGGCATAAAATTTTCTTGAGTAATAAGCAGTTACAAGAGGAGGGTTTTTAAGGTTTTTTAAATGTATTTTTTAATGTATGATACACTGGGTTCCCTGGAGCTGGAGTTACAGAACATTGTGAGCTATCATGTGGGTGATAGAAACTGAACCTGAGTCCTGTGCAAGAGCAGCGGGTGTTCTTAACCAACCCCAACAATGGAAAGGGGTTTAAGAAACTGTGGTCTACTCAACATAAAACCAGATACTCTAAATCTGTTAGAAGAAAAAGTGGGGAACAGCCTAGAACTCATTGGCACAGGAGACAACTTCCTGAACAGAACACCAACAGCACAGGCTCTAAGAGCAACAATCAATAAATGGGACCTCATGAAACTGAACAGCTTCTGTAAAGCAAAGGACACTGTCATCAAAACAAAATGACTGCCTACAGATTGGGAAAGAATCTTCACCAACCCTTTATCTGACAGAGGACTAATATCGAGTATATACAAAGAACTAAAGAAGCTGAAAAGCAGCAAACCAAGTAATCCAATTAAAAAATGGGGAACAGAGCTAAACAGAGAATTCTCCACAGAGGAATATCGAATGGCAGAGAAACACTTAAAGAAATGCTCATCCTCATTAGCCATCAGGGAAATGCAAATCAAAACGACCCTGAGATATCACCTTACACCCATCAGAATGGCCAAGATGAAAAACTCAAGGGACAACACATGCTGGAGAGGTTGTGGAGAAAGGGAACCCTCCTCCACTGCTGGGGGGAATGTAAACTGGTTCAACCACTCTGGAAATCTATCTGGCGCTTTCTAAGACAATTAGGAATAGTGCTTCCTCAAGACCCAGCTATACCACTGCTAGGTATATACCCAAAGTTTGCTCAAGTACACAAAAGGGATATTTGCTCAACCATGTTTATTGCAGCTTTATTTGTAATAGCCAGAACCTGGAAACAACCCAGATGTCCCTCAACGGAGGAATGGGTACAGAAATTGTGGTATTTTTACACAATGGAATACTACTCAGCAATCAAAAAGGAGGAAATCATGAAATTTGCAGGCAAATGGTGGGACCTAGAAAAGATCATCCTGAGTGAAATATCCCAGAAGGAGAAAGACAAACACGGTATATACTCACTTATATAGACCTATAAGATATGATAAACATAATGAAATCTATACACCTAAAAAAGATAATCAAGAGAGCGGACATGGGGTAAGATTATCAATCCTCGTTTTGAAAGACAGATGGGATGCACATTAAACATTGACAGGAGTCTACTGAGCGCATTTGAAAAACTTTAACTAGCAGTGTTTTCAAAGCAAAGACTCATGACCAAACCT